GTAAAAGCCCTTTCCACTGCAGAACCTACAAAGAAACTACTCTCAGCACCTTCCTTCCAAATCCAGCTATTTGTTGGCTCTGTCTCCAACCCTGAAATACCATGACAGAGAACTTGGATCCTCTGATCTGGTTCATCTGGTGCATCTGGTGATGCCTTTAGTCCCAGAATTTTACCCAAGACCATCTTCAAAACAAACTATATTTTTTTGATTGAAAATATTTGCTTTCTACCTTGCTCTACAGAGCTGCCTTTTGATTTTCAATCTCTGGACACAGTTGTAATTAGGGCTCCCTGAGCTGGGGCCACATAAGGAAGTGATTTAATTGTCAAAGCAAGCACAAGCTTGTTGTCTGGGGAAGTGCCAGCATGGGCTTTGGGGTGTTAGCAGAGCTGCATGGATTAGGTTTTGCTTTTGACATTGGTGCCTTGGCTTTTGTCCTGTGGATGGCATTGCTTGCATGGGAAGGAAGGAGGAGGCAAACTGTAAGGAAGCCAAGATGGAGAAGATACACTTTAGACAGTAGATCCCACTGCTGGGTGTCTGTGCCACTCAGCGTGTCCCAGTGCTTTGTCCTGAGATCCAAAGTGAGCGCGGGGAGGTCTCAGAGGTTGCCCTCCTGAGCTGGCTGCAGGGCAGGAGGGTTAAGCAGCGGCCCATGATCAGTGCTGCACTGAGTGGTGGCAAGAAATGAAAGTGAACTGCTTGGGGTGTTGGGGAGGATGAAACAGGGAAACTTTATGAATATGATTGTTTAGCAAAAGATTCTGAAAATATGAAGCCTAGAATCGAAATAGAAATGAGGGCTAGCTTTGAGTCATGGGATACTGAGTGCTAGTTAATAAATATCCGAAGAACAATAGCCTAGCCAGCTAAAGGAGAATCCCTGTTGATGAAACAATGTCCTTCTGCTGATAGAGAATCCAAAGGTCAAGCAGCAAGAGAGGAATTTGTAAAGCTTTTAGAGTTTGGAATGTAACACTGTATGGTAATACACCACCCTTTAGTGGGTGTATCTCGTAGTGATTGGTTACTGGGAATTAGAATATTCACTATAGAAAGACATATATTGAATTGTAACAGGAACTTCACTCTCTTACTCTTACTCTTACTCTTACTATGGTGTTTCTCCCTCGCTCCCCTACTCTCTCTCCCCCCACCCCCCTCTCTCTCTCTCCCCACTCTCTTGTTCCCCCTCTCGCCTAAGCCTCTTTTGCTCTTGATTCCTCCCTCTCCCGTCTTTAACCTCTCTTCTCCTGCTCTCCCCGCTCCACTGTCCCCCGCCACAACCGCATGTTCGCTAAGGCTGGTGGTGGACACGGGTCTCTCCTTCTCTTTACCCATATAATAAACTGCTTATACCTGAACAGCTTGACCCTGGAGAAGTCTCTCACCGTAAGCGAGTGTTTTGTACATCAATATTGGGGTTTGGTGTGTGTTGGCCAAGGTGAGCTGGTGGACTGCCTGCATCGAACAGTGGTAGGGGTTTCATGTGGCTTTAATGCAGAACTTTGTTCTGAATCTTATTTTTCTTCAATTATTAAGACTTTTTGCTTGGGCTCTGCTTTATCTTCTCAATACCTTCTTAGGCTAATAGATAGAGTTTCATTTTGGGTTAAAGGCCACCAATATTTTTGTCAAGCTTTGGAAACAACCTTTGCCCTCTCTGTCCTTCCATCTTTTCACCCTACCACAGTAACATCCCAAACTTTTTCTCATAGCCACATAAAGCTTGAGAATTGTGAAACTGAAATTTCACAACTGAAATTTGTGATTCAGAACACCTCTCAAAGTACAGCTGATACCACAAATAACTTGGAGTGTTTTCAGGACTATGTGTGGGTGTTTGCCTCAACCCCTTGGTAGGGATGGCTGTACATGACTGTGTCTCACCTACTTTTTTGTTATACCCTATATATCTTAGGCAAAGTATTAATTTATATATATGATATTCATTTTGTATACACAGACATGATTCAGCCTCGTTTGGGGAGCCCTAGTGATCCAGAATTATAACTGGCAGATAAAGCGGGGAGCTCTATTGAAGTAAGTTCAGCTACTCACAAGGTTCAGTGCTGGAATGCAGTTGCAGATTTGGGGTTGTAAGAAAAATCCCAGCTTTCTGGAATCCCAATGATAGTGATGAGTCTTAAATTCATATGACTGATGGAAAGAATAACTCAATGGGAATCTTTCCCCCACTAGAAGAGACTTCCACATAATTAACCAATCTCCTATTCAGGCAAAAATTCTATGGGAAAAAGTTGGGTTTTGGTTTGAATAAAACATGGCAAAATCTACACTGAGAAAAATGATGGTTGACATACAATGGTGTGTTAACAATGACATATGTGAGCAAATATTGTACTTCCTTTTGATTTAGTGCTGTATGTTAAAGAGATAAATTGTCTCTCTCTAAGTTAAGCAGAAAATCCTCATATTAGCTGCTCAAAGCCCAAATATTTTTCTGAATGATGAAGACAATATTTTTTTCCAAATTCAGGTGTTTGAAACGCATCATTTACAGGATAGATTACTGTTTTGTTTGGACTCTATAGTGCAAAGCTAGAAGAGTACCACAGATTTTGGTTGAGATTCCTATGGCTTCACAGGGTTACACTTTTAGACTTGGGGAGAAGTGTTCCTCAAACAAAAATGATGAGGGATTTAGAAACTAAATTCTGTGTCCTTTCCTCATGAAGTCTCATTTGTTCCTATCAGGTATCTCAAGTTTTATATATTCCAGGAGCTCTAGGATGCATGCATAGAAAATTTCCACACCAAGCCACCCTATTTGAGCTAAAAGCTGTCTTCCTGAAAGATGTCTTAGTGTTCATTTACAGCCTTCATGTGACAGAGAATCCATCAGGCACCCAGGTACTTTCTCATATTACTTGATTACCTTCACTCAAACCTACACAACAGATTTGTAGTTTGAAGTGGTGCAGGATCCACTCTTGGCATCTCACCAGTACTTACTCTGCTGAATAAAGTTTCCCACTTTCATCACATATCACATATCCCTTCCCCAAGAAGAACAAGATGCCTCTTAACATATTTAAGGATGGATCTAAACTGAGCCCACTTAGTCTCCTGCCACAAAGCCTGGCTTCCAAACCTAATGTAATTCTTGTCACTGTTCCTCAGAGAAGGGGTTTGCTAGTGCTGTACACGAAAATAATACATCCTTTCTTCTTCTGCTTGATATTCCCCAGCTCATATCTACAAGAATCACATTTGCTGCTTTATTTACAGGACCATACAGAGTTTGCATTCAGTGGGTTGTGCACAATCCCCCCACAGTCCTTGACACCACTGCTCTTTGGCAGAAGACATTTGCCTTTTGTTTATATTTGACATGTGTTCTTCCTCTCTGGACATATGACTTTGCATTTGACTTTGCTTTTGAACAAGCCCTTTTTATCAAACAACCAAATCAGGCAGCACAACTGACTCATTACCAGCAGGAATTGCTGTTCTGCTCACTTTGGGGTCATAGCCACTTTTTACTGTCAGGGATTTTCTTTCACATCTTTTCACATCTTTGATAAAGATACTAAAGAATACTGAGCAAAAAGAAAATCTTATTGAGAGTGTGTAAGAACACACACTGCATACTAATATCTCAGTGATCCTTATTTTATAAAATATATTTTGTTACTTGTTGTTAGTCCACTGAATAAGGGCTGCATGGATACCTTTAGTGTTACTTAATCAAAATGAGACTAAATGTGAATTACAGAAGTCTTTTTCATCAGTGGTTGCTTCCATCAACAAAGTCTCTGTAATTTAATTTAGTAATTGTTTTTATTTTTAAATAGTTCATCTTGATCCTTGTTGGCAAGATCTTTTTACTTAGGGAATAGGATTTTTTTTTTAAATTTCAAGCATATTGATATCCAGGCCTACATTTTGCTGGCATTTATTAAATGGAATAACAATGTGATCCTTTGCATCTAGAAAACCATAATTTTCTAACCTGATGTGCAATTCATTATGTTCTACAAAAACAGGTCTGATGCAGAAGTACCCCAAGCTGATTTCAATTATTTTTATATAGTTTATGTATTTAGAAACTTATATACAGCTTTTAGAAACCCCAGGGATGCTTCCCCACTGGTAGCACAAAACCTTCAGTATCTGCTTCCCAGCCTTAAATCTCCTATCAGACATAAAGAATGAATCCTGTCTCTGCACTCCAAGGTGGTCTGCAGTGGACATTTCACCCTCACAGGACTCCTCCCCAGGCAAGTGAGACACTGTTTGCATAGGGATTTTCCAGGCATTTTGAGCTTTACCCAAACAGTATTTATGGCATGTCAGACTGCCTTTGATGGAGACTTCCCTTTCTCTCTCCCTCCTTCCCTCCCTCTTGTCTTGCCTAAGCAGGCTGTAGCAGTGATTTTAGCATCCCCATCATCCGTATCATTACGGATCATCAAGGGACGCTTGGTAATATGCATCATCTCACACAAACGTTTCCCATTCCTTCGACCTAGTATCAATCTAATGGTTGACTACTCCAATATCTCCATTAAGTGTCTGTATTTTTGTTGACTTTTGTACCTGGCTGTGGCTGCTTGGCTCTATCTCCTCCCTGGCTAGAGGAAATGGAAGTGCTGCAGCGGCTGCAGTCTCGCAGACCGAGGACGAATACCAGCGGACAAACAGCGCCAGGACCAACCCCGGAGACTGCGGGGGCGGGAGCATGAGAACGTGAGTGCAGAGCGGGGAACCCAGCCATCCGAGGGGGACAGCCCTAAAGGACTGGGGACAGCTGCCAGGGATGGGGAACAGGTTCGGGAGGCCCGGGCGGTCCCCGCCCGCGGAGCCTTCAGCACCACTCGCCGGGGACAGCGTCCGGCCCCGCCGCGGTCCCCGATAGCGGAGCGGCGCCCCTAAACATTCCCCGAACGTCCCCACCCCGGGGTGCAGCCCCAGGAGCCCTCCCAGGGCTCCCCCCGTCTCCCCCGGCCCGCCCCTCTGCCGTGAACACTAACCGAACATCTGGATGTGCCCCTTGGTGATGGGGTTGAAGCTGCCGCAGGCCAGCAGGATAACGTGGGTCTTGGTGGTCTCGGTCATGGTGCGGCCCTGCCTGGCCCCACCGCGGTCTGTGGCTCGGTGCGGCTGCGGGAGAGAGGAGGGCGGAGGGATGGAGCGGGGCCGGGCGGGAGCGGGGGTGGCGCCGCGGCTGCGGGAGCCGGGCCGGGGCCGCCCCTCTCCAGCACGGCCCGGGGCGCGGCCTCCGTGGAGTCCTACACACGCGTGTGTGTGTACATTCATGTGCACACCCACGGATACACATCCATCCCAGCGTCATGGAGAGGGGCACACGCCCTGGCACAGATGTGCCCATGCACACACACACAGATGGGCACACAGCCGCATCTGCTCTATGTACACTCATACTCATAGAGGTGCAGCAGAGACACACTGGCATCCCCGGGACTGAGGAGATGTAACAGGAGGTTTAATCTGCACATGAGGAGGCTGAAGGATAACTTTATTATGCCCTACAACTCTCTGAAAGGAGGGTAACCAGGTGGGGACACAGTATTTTCTCCCAGGCAAACAGCAAAAGGACAAGGAGACACAGTCTTAGGAGAGACTTCAGGAGGAATTTCTTCACAGAAAGGGTGATTAGACATTGGAATGGGCTGCCCAGAGAGGCAGTGGAGTCACCGTCCCTGGAGGTGTTCAAGGAAAGACTAGATGTGACACTTAATGCCATGATGTAGTTGGCAAGGTGGTAATCAGTCATAGATTGGACTTGATGACCTCAGAGGTCTTTTCCAGCCTAAGCAATTTTGTAATCTGCACAACTCAGTGCTCATGGGCAGCTATGTGTGTTTCCCCTGTGCTGCTCAGGTGGTCCCAGCCTAGGACCTGCATAGGTATCCCAGCTCCTCCAGTCCCAGCACAATATTGCTGCAGCGCCTGGGGTTCTATGGGGAAATTAACTTCAGCTTCACCCGTTGCCTGAAACACATACATTGCCTGAAAGAGACCAACATCAGATAGATGCTATGCATTTACCAAAAACCAGCCTTTACTGCAAGGTAAACTTGCAGACTACCAGACTACCCAACTGTCTAATTGTCTAAATTTCTCATTTTTAGGACTGCAGCATTGCTGTTCTCCACTAAAGATGCTCCTTGACCTGAACAAGGGCCAGCAGAGCCCTCTCTGCTTACAGCCACTGAAGAGGAGCTGCATGCAGCTCACTTCAGCCCCTTCCCAATGAACCTGAACAAGGTTCATTGACCTGAACAAGGGCCAGCAGATCCCTCTGCTTACAGCCACTGAAGAGGAGCTGCATGCAGCTCACTTCAGCCCCTTCCCAATGGCTGTCCTGGCCTTATCTCTGGCTCCCACACACAGATTTTCCTCTCAGCAGGGAGTTATTTGCCACCAACAGGTCTCCCTTGCTACCTTCATCTGTCTTCCTCCTCTGTCCTTAAGAGGATACTCCCTAGACACTCATTTCTGCCTTCTTATGGCAGAGGTTTTTAGCCCTACCCTAGCAGTGTGCTGTGTTTCTCCTTGTCCTGCTAAGATTAATTATTCACAGTCCTTTGCTTGAAAACTTTTTCCCTCACAGCTCAGTCAGGTGCTGGGATATTCATCAGCCTGGGTGATATGAAGGAGCAAGATCACTAGGGAATGAACCCAAGACGATGCTGAGTATGTTTGTTCAGGGAACACTTAAATGCTTGTTGTGGAGGCCCTGGCTGCACTCTCAGGAGAAACACTGATAGCAAGGGGTGGTCTGTCTCACTGGATAGGGGTGTGGTAACATCCAGGGTTATATTTCTATCCTGATTTTTAATTTGGACTAAGCTGGTGTTGAGGGAGAGATGCTGAGACAGGTGGTGTGCTCTGTCCTTTGTTCCCTGCTCTATCTTCTGACTGGCTCTGTATGGACATATGATGATTCAGTGGGATTAGATTTTGGGGATGTGTTGGGCTTTTTCCTGTGCTGCTCCTCCAAGCTTACCCTGACAAGGAGAGACTCACAACCTTAGGAGAAGAAGCATCTCGGCAGTTTACCCTTCTGTAGCTTTTACAACCTGCAGCTGTAGGAGCATTAAGTGCTGCTGCTGCAGAAGGCACAAATGAACTAAACTGCCTTTGGCCTAGTTCTCCCACTGCCTGGTGATGCCAAACACATCCCGCTGGTCCTGACAGCTCCTGCCATCCAGATGAATCTCTCTGCCTGCTTTGTTTCACACCAGGGTTTGACCTTAAACACCAGTGAAAGATCAAGATCACCAGTCCAGATATAGGTTATGCACTGTCTGACCATGGTGGGGTCAAGGTCTGGCCAGAACTGCCAGGCAATCATGAGGATGAGATCTGGGCAGCCCTGTCTGTAGCTCTCCCCTGGCTTTCCTGCTGCCTTCTGGATGGTGAGTGATGTGGTAAATCATCTGTCACTTAGCAACGCTGCTGGCTGGGGAGCAGCAGCAGGTTTTGGTGCAGGAGTGATGCCTGCAAGGCTGTGCAGTGGTTATTTCACCTTTTTTCCCCTCAGTGTTTTCCAACCCAGCATGTATTTTCTTTTACTTGCTGCTTTTTCCTGAACATGTGGGTTCAGACAACAGCCCCAGCTGCAGGAGCCAGATGCTCTCTGCCAGCCCTCCCTGTGATCGTTGTGCAGCACTAGAGCACCCCAAGACTCCCAGCAGATTTGAGGTCCAACCCAGCCCATGGTTGCAAGCAGCCATCTGCCACATGCAGAGCTGTTACAGTAGGGCACAGAGAGGACAGAAGGATGATTAGCTGGGGTTTATTCTCTGAGGAAGAAAGCAGCATGGAGAAACACAGGGATCTGCCTACACAGGCAGCTCATATCAGCACTGCAAAATCGTTGCCAGTGGGACTTCAGACTGGTCAAGCACACCTGAAACATGGCCTGTGGCTCACACCAAGGGTATTTCTGCACATGGATTTGTCCAGCTCTTCACCATCTGCACAGACAGACCCTCAGAGCAGGGGACCATGCAGCAGAAGGCAGGAAGATCATGGCTGTGTTCACTGGGGTGAGGGATGGGGACCCTTAGTTCTCCCAGGACTGCCTCTCACCTTGTCCCTCATCTTGGGCTAGGGAGGAGGAAGAGAAACCTTCCAGCTTTAGGCTTTTAAGCTGTCAGTCTGCAAACTCTTTGAAAGAACCCAAACCTATCAGAGAAAAGGACAATTAAAAGGGCTTAAACCATTTATTAATCCATCCTGGCACATTCTGGAGCCTTTTCTGACAAGGGCTAAGAAGCAGATTCAGTTCTGCTCCACATATGCCAGCCCTATGACTCTAAGAAATTTTTGTAAAGCAACAATGCACTTTAAAAGAAAGAAAGAAAAAAAAAAAAAAAAAAAGGATCTTGAATAAGGGAGTTGATCACTTGGTGGCCCAGTTGGATTAAAACCCCTGGTTCCCACAAAAGCAGGTTTTAAATTTACACCAGTTTTTGAGATACAATCTGAATTTATCTAGCCAAAGCTCAGGCTTGCAAACCTAGCCCATGGGAGGGAAAGGATTTGCAAATATAAGGAAGCCGGACTGAACTGGCAGATTGGGGCAGGCTAGATAGGCCAAGCTGAACTATGTGCTCATGGAACAGCATAGGAAAATAAATGGAAGCAATCGGCAGTAGCAGCTATGGTGGGAGCCCAGTTGATATGGAGGGAACTGCCAAACCCATGGCAACCAGGTCTGAGGCCACATTGGGTGGGACAGCCTGGCTCAAAGGGAGAAATCTTCCATTTTGGATGACCTGTTGTAGGAGGAGACATTCAAACAAGGAAGGCTGAAAAGCCTTCAGTGAAAGATATGACTTATAACTGAGGTTTGAAAATTTATGAGTAGCCTGGGGAGCTCTTCTCAGGGCTTGGTTCATCATGCACTGGGAGAAGATACCAAAGGGTGCCATGAGATAAAGCTGGGTATCTATCAAGGTTGAGGACTTAACACCCTGGTTGTGGCCTCTGAACTGACCCCAAGTGCTGTGCAGTGTTTCTGGGGCACTGGACTGACATTTGAGGCAATCTCCTGGGGAAGGTCAGTCTGGGAACCAATTTCTCTCTTGCCCACATTCAGTAAGACCAGCTGAACACTGGCCACAGATGCAATTAGCCTGGCAGCCTATTTAAAGTCTCTGTTTCTGAGGTTACAGCTTGATTTGATCTGCACTGGCAGGATTGTAGCTGGGCTCCTTGGATGGGGAGTGAAGCTGAGGCACGCAGCATGGCTCCACAGGAATGGCTGCTTGCTCTCTCCCTTCCAAAAGTGAGTTAGCTTTCAGTTAGCGTGAAAGGATACTTCTGCCCTGAATGCACAGCACTTAATCTCAAAAATTTAAAAGGAAATCCATTACTTTACAAATTACAAGGATTGGGAGAAATTTCTCTAAGAAATTAGGCCTATTTTATAATTTTTTCTTCTGGGTGATATTTGCAAGGGAATAATGAAGGCTTAACAAAACCCTACACAGTTGAAATTCCTGAAGTTTTGCATACAGGCTATATTTGGGGGAAAGAGGCTATTATTAGATGAGGCTTTTGTCACTAACAATTCAAAATCTAAGTAGGATAATCTGGGATGACAACAAATACACTTTAATTATGATAACATAATTACTGATCAGGAAGAATAGAGGACAAAATTAGGATTGTTTAGGTATCTTCATTCTTTGTTTCTTCCTTCAAACGCTGTTGAGTGCTAATTTCCCACATCACAACATTCAGATTGAAATAAACACCAAACCTGCAGAGAATTTGATGTTTCATCATTCAGGTGTTGAATTGTTCACTCATCTTTCCTTGATCACAGGTTTTCATCCCAAGCAGCAGAAGAATGTGATGTCTCAAAGACATAAAAGCCGAAGTTTGGCACAGAGACAGAGGCCTGTCCAGTGCCACATCTGTGCATGAAAACAGGGGCAGAGTATCTGCACACAAAGGGGAGACTTTGGACTCAGCATGTCTTACAGGACAATTAAAGATGCTGATGTTAATGAAGAAAGATGGAAGCAGGTTCCACATGGTCCACCTCTCCATTGCTGTTTTAAATGACCTTGACAAAA